GGCAACAGTCTGAAGACCAGTCAGCAAGAGTACAAACTAAACAAGAGCAACCCAGGGCGGTACTATTAGCCCAGCCACTGAGACAAAAGCCACAAGGCCAGTCAAGATAATATAAAAGTAGTACACAATGAAGGTCCTAGCAAGTGTGAAGCTCCAAGAACTAGACCACGCTGTACACAGTGCCGCTAATGATCTTTAGGCGCAAGCGTCTTCGTAAAGATATCAGCTGTGTTGGCACCGGATGCCAAGTGTACTACGCCGGCCTGGCGGCACTGCTATAGCTCGCGTAGGAGGAAGTACCGCAGCTGGATGTGCTTTGCTCTGCCCTCAAGTCAAGGCTCCTGACACAGGAGGATCATGGCACTGTTGTCAGCGTACAGGACCAGGGCAGAGCTAGGCCGCTCACCCAAGTCGGTGAGCAACAAGGTCAGCCAGCGGAGCTCCTGTGCCGCCATGGCACCTGCGTAGATCTCCGCCTCACAGCTAGACAGGGCAATAGACGATTAACGGGTGGACCTCCACGAGATGGCACCTTCACCAAGGCTAAAGGAGTAGCCTTGGGAGGACCTGAGCATATAAGCATCGTCTGCCCACGAAGCTGTAAGAAATAGAGTTGAAATGATTGATTAGGTAAGGAGCCCAAGACTCTATAAGTACATGGCAAGGTGAGAGTGAATGGATGAAGAGGGAATTGGAGGGAATCCCCATTGGGATCTCCTGAATCTCCAATTGGGTAATTGGAGATTGGGGGGATCACAATTGGGTGAGGTTGGGATTTGTGAGTACACCCCAACCCACCAGAACATTCATAACCTAAACTAGGATATAAAAGTACAAATAGAAAAGTGGTATTTGCAGTCTATTTCTAACACACCCCCATAGACTGCAAACCCGATCAAGGAGCACATAGCCCCATGGAACGGAGAAGGCGATGGTGGTCAGCCTTGCCGAGAGCCTTGGGAAAGAGGTCGGCAAGGTTGCAATCTGAGGCGATGTACCGTACCGTCAGCTGGTCACTGTGAACAAGATCTCGGATGAAGAAATGACGAAGTTCGATGTGCTTGGTGCGAGAGTGGAACACAGGATCCTTGGTGAGGTGAATGGCACTCTGGTTGTCACACCACAGGGTGGGCGACTACTGGTGTTGTGTGATGTCATCATATGTTATCACATTCTGTCTGCCTCCCATCCCTTGTTTCAATTCGCACGTATGGTTTGACTGTGTGTGAAAGAATTTGTGTGGTGTGTGTTCTGGAGTTTGGGAATGTGTTTTGTGTTATTCTGTCTGAGCAGGTATTTGTGATGATAGATCTTGAGAAGATCTTTCCGACGCAACAAGAATCGCGTCAATCGGAGCAAGAACGCGAAAGCTATGAAGATTCAAAGTTCATGAGCTTGCGTTACAATTGCGGCGGTTACAAAGTGAAGTTGTGGGGTGACTTTATATGGAGTTGGGACCTTTGGGGTTGGGGAAATTCGTCACTCTACTGTAACAGCTGCAAATTGGTTGGGAACAACCAAGCTAGGTTGGCAAGGGTGGCCAACTTGGATGGATTGGTTGGGAAGGGACAAATGTCAAAGTTGGGGTTCCTATAGGGAGGGAATCTTTGTGCTTATGGGGTTTCCTTGGTTGGGGACTCTCTTGGGACCTTCCCTCTCATCCCTCTCTTCTATCCCAACCTTTCTCTTGCTCCTTCTAATTCCTTGTGAGATTCTTGAACTTTGATTGAACTCTTGAGATTGAGTTAAGTTCTCCTCCTACAGCTTACCCCCTAGTGCGTCGAAAGCCATAGCGTCGCGAATACTTCATCAATCAACGTGATTCAAATTGGGAACGGTAGCTGAGATCAAGAGCTACAACATATCCAAGTTTCGCGACATTCCAACGGCTAGTGTTTTGTCGACGTCGTTTCTTGTGAAGACGACTTTTCTGTCCAGAATTTCGGATTTATATTTTGAGTAATTCTAGCTCCTAAGTTCACCTAGACTCTGTCCTTAATCCTAACAACTGGGGGTAGCCTAACTCAGCGAGGAGAAAGGAGAGCCAGCGCGCCTCTTGAGCAGCCATTGTGCCGCGTAGAGCTCGGCCTCACAGGACGACAGAGAGACTGCAGAGGACCGAGTGGAGCGCCAGCTGATGACTCCGCTACCAAGGGTGAAGCAGTACCCTTGGGAGGAGCGTCTGTCAGTCTGGTCATCGGCCCATGAGGAGTCTGTGTATGCCTCGAGCTTGACTGGAGAGGTACCACCAAGAGTGAGGATGTGAGACTTGGTGGCTTGTAGATAGCGGAGGACCCTCTTGGCTGCACACCAATGCGAGGGAGTGTAGCGTCCGGGGGAGACGTACCGAGAGAGGACACTAACTGGGTAAGCCAAGTCTGGTCGAGTGCACATCATGGCATACATGAGTGAACCGACTAGCTCAGGGTACGGGTCCTTGCAGGCGTCAGGAGAAGGAACTGGAGGAGCCGTGAGCTGATGCTGTAGTGGGAGTGGAGTGGAGACAGAGTTACTGGAGTCCATGTCGAACCGCTTGAGAAGGTTGTCGATGTAGGACTCCTGGGAGAGTGTGATCGTGCAAGCCTGGCGGTCACGAGTGATCTCCATCCCCAGGTAGTTCTTGAGGTCACCAAGATCCTTCATGAGAAGGGCGGAGCTGAGAGCAGACTGGACAGCTGCCATGTCGGCTGGATCTCTGGCGGCTAGAATGAAGTCGTCAACGTAGACGAGGATGTAGAAGGGCTCGGAGGAGTGACGAACAAAGAGACTGGAATCTGAGGCAGAGGGATGGAAGTCAAGTGCGAGGAGGACTTCCTTCACCTTGTTGTGCCACTCACGAGGAGCCTGCTTGAGGCCATACACTGGGCGCTTCAGCTTCCACACTGTGTTGGCAGGGTAAGTGCCAGGAAACCCCGGTGGGCGTTCCATGTGAACATCCTCCTTGAGCTGGCCTTGGAGAAAGGCGGAGGAGGCGTCCATGGACTTGATCTCGAAGTTGCCGCGAGCGGCTATATCAAGAAGAGCGCGCACAGTCGGGAGCTTGGCCATGGGCGAGAAGGTTTCGAAGAAGTCGAGATACTCCTTCTGGGTGAAACCCTTCGCCACGTATCGTGCCTTGAACACTGGAGCTTCGCCTGGGAGTTGTTTGACTCGGAAGATCCATTTTCCACCGACGATGTTGACATCGGAAGGGGGAACAAATGTTGGTGCAACCCTATGGCTTGCACTCGGCTTGTCGTCCTTGTTTGTGTGTGTGCATGCATGGCATGGAATGAATTGTGAGTCTATGTCATTGCTATCTAGTGCTTGTGTGTGTGTTTGAATGGTGTATCACAATGTGGTTTGTGTCCGTCAAGACATTAGCGAGTTTTTACAACTCGCATGTCAAGTCGTCGTTTGCGTGTCGCATGTATTTTTTTTAATTTTGTCGAGTGTGAAGTGTCCATCGCGTCGCAGGTCTGCGCAGCAAGCCCCCATCAACTCAAGAAGAATTTATCTTGCAGATCCAAGACCAAGAGCTCAAGATTTTAAGCCCAAGGGACGCGAATAAATATTAAATAGTGAAAATAGGAACGCTACTTCGTGTAGTGTTACATTTGACTTGGAGTAGCCCCTTGGAGGGTTGGTTTCGAGACTCTTCATGGTTGGAGACTCTGTGGTGGTGTACCACCAACCTGGACCTCGGCTCTTGGGGTATGTAGAGACTGGGAATCATCTCCCTCTCTAATTTTTCTTCCTAAGTTTTTGTACTCCTAAAACTATAGTGGCTGCTGTACCTCCTGCCAGTCAAACCGCCATAGCATCCTCAAATCTGCATGGAACTTCATGATTCAACTTGCTGCTGATAGACGTCAGCACTGCGCTCTAGATCCAATTTACAGATCACCGTTTAAGTCAGCGACCAGATCGTTATCAATATTTGAAGCCGTCTGATGGAAATCCGACTGCCGTCTTGTTTGTGTGTGTGCATGCATGGCATGGAATGAATTGTGAGTCTATGTCATTGCTATCTAGTGCTTGTGTGTGTGTTTGAATGGTGTATCACAATGTGGTTTGTGTCCGTCAAGACATTAGCGAGTTTTTACAACTCGCATGTCAAGTCGTCGTTTGCGTGTCGCATGTATTTTTTTTAATTTTGTCGAGTGTGAAGTGTCCATCGCGTCGCAGGTCTGCGCAGCAAGCCCCCATCAACTCAAGAAGAATTTATCTTGCAGATCCAAGACCAAGAGCTCAAGATTTTAAGCCCAAGGGACGCGAATAAATATTAAATAGTGAAAATAGGAACGCTACTTCGTGTAGTGTTACATTTGACTTGGAGTAGCCCCTTGGAGGGTTGGTTTCGAGACTCTTCATGGTTGGAGACTCTGTGGTGGTGTACCACCAACCTGGACCTCGGCTCTTGGGGTATGTAGAGACTGGGAATCATCTCCCTCTCTAATTTTTCTTCCTAAGTTTTTGTACTCCTAAAACTATAGTGGCTGCTGTACCTCCTGCCAGTCAAACCGCCATAGCATCCTCAAATCTGCATGGAACTTCATGATTCAACTTGCTGCTGATAGACGTCAGCACTGCGCTCTAGATCCAATTTACAGATCACCGTTTAAGTCAGCGACCAGATCGTTATCAATATTTGAAGCCGTCTGATGGAAATCCGACTGTGCTCTCTATCTCTCATTATAGGCACATCTGAGCCTATTGTGACTATAAGAACAACATCGTCAAAGCTGTTATTGCGAATGAACGCCTCGTTCTCCATGGAGGAAGAGACCTACATGGAGCAGCCAGAGGGGTACAATGATGGGAGTGGCAGAGTGTGGAAGCTGTAGAAAGTACTGTATGGCCTCAAGCAAGCCCCTAGGCAATGGTACATCAAGCTGCGGGAAGTCTTGGAGGCGATCGGCTTCACTCCCTCAACGGCCGATCAATCCTTGTTCATGCTTGGCGAGGGGGAGCAGAGGAGCTTCATGGTGGTTTATGTGGATGACATCCTCATATTCTCACCCTCCTCTGACCTTGTGAAGGAGGTGATGCTGAAGCTTCAAGACAAGTTCAAGTGCAAGACCCTTGGTGACGTCAACTACTACCTTGGGCTTCACATTGAGCGAGATGTGGAGAAGCGGTGGATGCGAGTGCATCAAAAGAAGTACTCGGAGGCCTTGGCTGCAAACTTTGGGAAGAGTGAAGTTCATGTGGCTTCTCCTCTTCCCTCAGGGTTCAAGTGTGTGAAAGGACCAGCGGAGGAAAGTGTTGGTGAAGAGGAAAGGCGGCGTTTTCACTCCTTGGTGGGCAGCCTCATGTATGCGGCCGTTCATACAAGGCCAGATGCAGCCTTTGCTACCGGGCAGCTGGCTAGGGTTGTCCAATGCCCTAATGAAGAGCAGGTAGCAGCTGGAGAGAGGGTGGCCAATTACCTTGGCCAAACAGCAACTGTTGGACTGCAATACTCCGCGGTGGCACAAAGGCGTCAAAAGGGTGCGGATGGAGTCGAACCCGGGAGGCTCTTTCTCACCGCCTTCTCTGATGCATCTTGGGCATCAGAACCAGAGGATATGACAAGTGTGGGAGGCTTCATCTGCAGTGTTGGTGGAGGACCAACAGCTTGGGAGAGCAAGAAGCAAGTGGACCAAGCATTGAGCTCGGTGGAGTCCGAGTACATGGCACTCTTCCGTGCCATGAGAGAGGTTGTGTGGCAGCGGCGTTTGCTAGCTGAATTGGGGGAGGAGCAGCAAGGACCAACCCCACTCTACTGTGATAGCCAAGGTGCTATTGCATTGGCAAAGAACCCCGTTCTTCATGGCCTTCCCAAGCACATGAAGGTGAAGTGGCATTGGGTGAGGAGCATGGTAACCGCGGGTGAAGTGGAGTTGCACTTCGTGAAGACAACGGCACAGCCAGCTGATATGATGACCAAGAGGCTGGTTGAGCAGCAGCATTGGAAGTGTTGCAAGCTTGCTGGGATGGCTCTGAACTAAGGGGAGCTGATTCTAAGGCCAACAATCCGAGGGGAGTTTGTTGGTGCAACCCTATGGGTTGCACTCGGCTTGTTGTCCTTGTTTGTGTGTGTGCATGCATGGCATGGAATGAATTGTGAGTCTATGTCATTGCTATCTAGTGCTTGTGTGTATATTTGAATGGTGTATCACAATGTGGTTTGTGTCGGTCAAGACATTAGCGAGTTTTTACAACTCGTATGTCAAGTCGTCGATTGCAAGTAGCATGTGTTTTTCTATTTTGTCGAGTGTTAAGTATCCATTGCGTCGCAGGTGAGTGTAGCAAGCCCTCTTCAATTCAAGAAGACTTTATCTTGCAGATCCAAGACCAAGAGCTCAAGATTTCAAGCCCAAGGGACGCGGATAAATATTAAATTGTGAAAATAATAACGCTACTTCGTGTAGTGTTACATTTGACTTGGAGTAGCCCCTTGGAGGGTTGGTTTCGAGAATCTTCATGGTTGGAGACTCTGTGGTGGTGTACCACCAACCTAGACCTCAGCTCCTGGGGTATGTAGAGGCTGGGAACCATCTCCTTCTCTAATTCTTCTTCCTAAGTTTTTGTACTCCTAAAACTATAGTGGCTGCTGTACCTCCTGCCAGTCAAACCGCCATAGCGTCGTTCAATCTTCATGGAATTTCATGATTCAACTTGCTGCTGATAGACGACAGCACCACGCTCTAGATCCAATTTACAGATCACCGTTTAAGTCAGCGACCAAATCGTTATCAATATTTGAAGCCGTCTGACGGAAATCCGACTATGCTCTCTATCTCTCATTATAGGCACATCTGAGCCTATTGTGACTATAACAACAACATCGTCAAAGCTGTTGTTGCGAATGAACGCCTCGTTCTCCACATCCATTGCTGCCTTCCACTCCTTCTTATAAGGCCCCGAGAGAGCTTCCTCTTTTGTGCGAGGAGTCGGAATGGTCGGGTTCTCGGTGAAGTTGAGGGAAGGGCAGTCAGTAATGTTCGGGAAGATGTGAGAGAGAAATTGGCAGACCGCGTGAAGGTGAAACAGCTCCTCATGCCTGTCCTCCAGAAGTGCACGGGGGGGAATACGGATGGAGGGGACATCACCCCCGGCAGGAGGAGGCGGGGTGACCGAACACCAGATGGAGAAGGCGGCTGGTCCCCAGGCGAGAGGCGGAGCCGGTCCCTTGGAACGAGTGCGACTAGAGACCGGAGATGAAGGCGGCTGCGGTGGGACCGGAGGGACTGGGCGCCTCTGGTAGGAGACTGGTGAGCGGGGCTCGACGCGCGGGGAAGGCGGAGCAGGAGGAGGTGCCGCTGCGGAGGATACTGGGGAGGCTGGGTGAGACACGCCAGACGGAGAAGGCCCCGAAGAAGGGGCAGCGGTCGGAGGTGGGGCATCGAAGTCTGCCCAAACAAGTGTAAGGGGAGGTGGAGGAGGCTCGCCCGTGGTCGCAGAGTGGAATGGGCGTGTCTCATCGAAGACGACATCACGGCTGCGAATCAGCTGTCTGGTGATTGGGTTGAGGAATAAGTATTCTGGGGAGTCGGAGTTGTGCCCCAGGTACATGCAGGTCTGAGTTTTGGGACCAAGCTTGCCACCTTGCTTCCTGCGCGTGTGGGGGCTTAGCAACACATACGCGGTACACCCCCAGACGCGTAGAGAGCGGGCGAAAGGCGTGACCCCAAGCCAGAGAGCGGTAGGTGTGGTGTCGGGCTAGTGGGGATGCGGATAAAGATTGTAGAGGAGTGCCGCATGGAAGAGGGCATATGCGCAGAGTGACCGTGGTGCGTTGGCGTGACTGAGGAGGCAGCGAGCAATCTGAACCAAGGTGTGGTTGCGGCTCTCTGCAGTGCCAATCTGTTGCGGGCTTTCGGGGAGCGTGAAGGTTTGCCAAATCCCTTGGGCCGCACAGAAGTTATCAAGTTTGCCATTGCGAAATTCTCCCCCACCATCAGAATGCCAGGCGAGTCTGTTGGTGGAGGAAGCGCCAACGGGAGGCCAAGTAGAAGTTTCTTGGAAGCGATGTCGGCAAGTGTACGGAAGTTGGGGTGACCCAAGCGATGGTGGTAGAGGATGGTTGGGTTGGCGAAGCTGCGACACGAACACGAAGTGGTGCTGGCAGCTTGCGCTTGGGAGAGGGCGGCTAGAGGTGCAGGTGAACGCAGCGTGTAGAGCTTGCTACTGTTGAGTGTGAAGCGTGCTAGGAGCTTGTTGGACTTAGGGTCGAAGAGGTCACAGTGATCCGAGTGTGCTGGGAAGATCGTGGTGACGCCTGCCCGTTGGAGCTCGTGTTGGGCCACGAGATTGTGGCGTAGAGTGGGAACACACATGCCAGTCACACTGCCCGAAGGAAAAGCTGGGCACGGAACTGTGGAGGAGCCCTTGGCGTGTGTTGTGAAACTGGAGTCTGCTCCAAGTAGACGGATTGGTGTCTCGTATGGCTTGAAGGAGTGTTCTTCCTTGAGAACCGTGTGAGTGGCCCCACTGTCGAGGGTGAACTTTATTGTGGCTGAGGTGTTTTGTGAGCCAGGATACTGCGAAATCGTCTCATTCATCATGGCAGTGCCAGGGAACAACATGTTGAGGCGCACATCAGCAGGTGCAGCCACAGCAGCCTGCACGGATTCCAGCACTTCGACTTGATTGACTTGGCGAGGAGCACGATTGACCATCCAGCTTGGCGGCTTCGAGGCGGTCCCATTGACGGCATACCACTCGTCATCCTTAATCTTCAAGTAGGAGCCAAGGGCGTGGTTGTTGCCGCCACACACCTAGCCAGCACGAGGGCCGCGCTTGATGACGTAGGGACATGGGGGGAAGCGGTTGCGCTGGAATGACGCCGAAGCGGCATAGGCTTGAGGCACGGGAGCACGGATTGCATTGGCCTTGGCTTGAGCGCTGTTGTCCTTTTCGGCAGAAAGGAGCGCGGATGAGACCTTGGCAAATGTGAGGTCTGCAAGAGCAAGGCCCAAAAGCATCTTGCGTGTGACTTCGTATGCCGGAGTGAGGTCGACTAGGAGAGTGGCTGCAGGGGCTTGCTCGGGGAAGACTATCCCCAACTGTTTGAGTTCACCATGAATGGACTGCACCTTGGTGACATAGTCCGCCATGCCTGGCGAGTCCTCGAGCCGCACTTGGAACATGCTGGGGATGAGTATAGCAACTCCCACTGCAGTCTTGTTCAGGAAGCGATCTTCGAGGTAGAGCCAAATGGCGTTGGTAGACGGGTAGTTGTGGTAGGTTTCGACGAGTTCGGGAGGAGTGGTGCCCATGAAGACACTAATGACCGCACCATCGGCCTTCTCCCAATTCTTGTACTTGAGCAGTGCAGCAGCATTAACTGCTTCGGTGGCGGCATTAGCTGGATCGGCGGACCTCTCGGGTTTAGGAGGCTCTTTGCCATCACCGATGTTGAGAAGGACGTCGGTGAGCTCGAGCCCCTTCACCTCGCGACTGAGGAGGTGCTTGTCGACACCATAGCGCCAAGCCTTGTAGTTGGAGCATGTGCCGTCCAGCTCGAGACGAAGGAGCGGGATCGGGTTGGCGAGTGAAGTGGTTGAGTAAGCCATTCCCATTTGATTTTCGCGAGGCGACGCTCTGAAGTCATCGATAACAACTTCGGTGCGGAGCGCGGCACTTCAGGAAATCACTCAGACGGCTTCGCCGAAATGCCGCTAAGAAGGAAATGGCGTCTGCGGGAATTTGTTTAAACACCGACTTGACACTAAATCTGAGCCTTAGTCTAACCCCAGACCCACACACCCCCCAACACACCCGCAGGCCCTGTCCCGCAGCTACACAGCTCCACAACCAGCTCCGCAACCAGCTCCGCTCCGCTTCCACCTGTGTACCTGCTCTTGCTTGACGCGAGACGTTTGTGGAGGTGATTCCACGAGGGGAGTTTGCCTTTGCTGGCGGGGTCCGAGAGATGGTCGAAATTGAGATTCGACCAAGGAGAACTGAGGAGGAAATCGACGATGAGAAGCATGAAAGCTTCAGAGATGAGAAATTCAAAGAGGTCGAGCGCGAAGGCGGTCGACGATGAGAGGCGCGACTGCAGAGTGGAGCACGTCGAAAATTCCGACGACTCGAAATAAATGTCGCGACGATGAGGTGCGCGTAGCGTGGGCACGTTAAGATTAGGTCCTTGATCCGCGTGTGCGGATAGGTCGCTCTGATACTATGTAAGGAATAGAGCTGAAATGATTGATTAGGTAAGGAGCCCAAGGCTCTATAAGTATATGGCAAGGTAAGGGAGAATGGATGAAGGGGGAATTGGAGGGAATCCCTATTGGGAACTCTGAAATCTCCAATTAGGTAATTGGAGATTGGGGGGATCACAATTGGGTGAGGTTGGGATTTTGTGAGTACACCCCAACCCACTAGAACATTCTTCACCTAAACTAGGATATAAAAGTACAAATACAAAAGTAGGATTTGCAATCTATTTCTAACAGAAGTAAGTCCTCTGGTTCCTCTTCAATATCGCTGTCACTGTCTTCATTGAATCGTCGTCTCCAGTAGCGAGTACCGCTAGACGTCCAATTATGCAGTTAATAATCCCTTTGCCTTGTGCAGGTTGAGTTGAAGAAGCAGAAGGCGGCGAGACCGTCTTGACTGGGGCGGCTTCACCTCACTTCTCCCAGTTCTTATTCTTCAGTTTCCGACACTCTTCAAAATAATGACCTGTTCGTTCGCAGAATTTGCAGAAGCCCTTGCCTTTCTTGCCTACTCCCATTGACTTTGTTCACCTCTTGTATGGTCCCCTTGACTTGA